CCCCCCCCCGATGCCTAGTTGTGTCCTACACCTCTGCACTGCTCCGAAGCATTAACCATAAACCATCTGCAAGATATGGCGGGAAGAAACGAGTCCAAGTCATTTGGCTCCCCAAAGCAGTTGGAGAGGTTTCAAGGGGTCTGGGATTTACTTGTTTCATGTCTGACATACATTATAGTATTCATCAAACATAGCTCAGGGCCTCTTTATCATTTCAACTTGGAATTTGGAGAGGCTGAAAGCAGGGGAACCTCTTTTGAGATGTTATAGAAATAAGCATATTGGTTTATACAGAATAAACTAAATTTGTCAAAAAAAAGTAGAAAAAGACACCTTTTGATGCTGCAAGTAAGATGCTTTGGAAGAAAGAGAAACTTTGGAAGCAACTCCTAATTGATTACTCAGCTCATCCGTGCCAAATCCATTAATTAACCAATTAGTAAATTGACAGAAAATGAAGGTGTAGAATTTGAGATTCCTCGAGGAGAAATCAATTTTCTCTCTGTTTCTACAGCCAGAGCACTTCCTGCTTTTATCAATTTAGCTTCATTATTTTTTTATTAAACAGTTCAAGCATCTTACAGCCCTCACCTTCGGAATACTTTTGAGTACAGCAGAAGCAATCAGCTCAAAAGATGTGCGATATTACACATGTATAACACAAGTATGAGATCTAACTTTGTGACAAACTGTCAAAACAAGGCTGGCTTCTGATTTTAACACTGCTTAATTCCTATTGGTGCGTTTATAGCTTTGCAATCCAAGCCCTGCCCACTTCTTATCTCAGGTAAGACCGGAAAAAAGGGAAAAAAAATGCAGGTAAAACACAATTCTGCAAAAACTGACCTTATAGACTGTCAACCACAATTGTTTTTCGAACATTTGCTTGCTGTACCATCTAAATAAAGGGAGCTATGGAAAAAACTGACACCCCACAGGATTAAGAAATCCCTTGATTTGGGTCATGTGATTGATCGCTTCTACACAAAAATGAATTCAACCGGCTAACGCAGGCCCCCTGAAACTGATCTGGCATATAGCCCCTCACTTCAGCACACAAAGCATTTTGTAAAACAAGACTAGCCACTGCTGACCGGACTGCTGAAATTGCAACTATCCACTAAGCCTTTGCTCGGTAATTGTATTTCCACAGAGCGACCCGCCGGTATCCGCTCAGATCTCCCCGCCGGTGACCTCTGTAAATAATGGTAATAAAGAGCGTACTTGTCGTGGCCGATGTGTCCCTCCAAGACAATTCACCAGCCACCAAGTGGTCTGGCCACTGCCCCCCCCCCAAACAACCCCACACACACACCGGCACATCTTGTTGTTGACCATTTGCCGGAGCACAGATCAGACGGCTCTCAGTGGTGAGAGTGGTTGATGGAGCTTGTGGAGATCAGGGCTAGCTCACTTTAACACAGCCAGCACCTCCAACAATAGCCGCCTCTGACAGCTTTGCATAATTCATCTTGTCGAGTCTCTCTCCCTTTTCCTCCTTGACGCTCCTCTCTCCCTCTCTTCTTTCAGTTTCTCTTCAGCTCCTTTTTTTTTTTTTTTTTTTTTCGTGTGTGCCTCCCAGCACATGGAGAAGGGGAGGGGAGAACCGAGGCAGTGTTCCATCAGATGCTGCCTGTTTCCCCCTGACACTAGTGATTCTGGAGACAGAGAAGTGTTTGTCTGCGGGATGATGCCCAGACTCCTGTGAATCCTGGATGCCACCTGAACCACATTGTTTTCTTTTTCTTTATTGAA